ACAGCTCCTCAGTGTGTCGAAGTAGGCGGAGCAGTGGTGACGCGAATGCTGTTCAACGAATGCTGGTGTCAGTCATCTCCATGAATCTAGCACGGATGGCCGGTTATCTCTTGAATGGAACCGCCATCACAGAAACCAGGACTGCACTCACCGCGCCCCAATAGCTCCACTGAGCGCAACCTCCAAGCTCACCATTCCCGACGGCCCCAAATTCGGCGCCATGGCACCACCCAGGCCCTTTCCTCCACCAGCATGGCGCTTAGTCTCCGCAGCCATGTTAGGATGCCCAGCGGACACCGCAGCCTTTCGTAGCGTCACCTTGAGAGACTTTGTCAACCAAAGAAGCTTCTCAGAGTGCAGACAACACTATGGACACAGCACCATAGAGATGGGCTGCTTCCGGTATTAAAATATAATAGGCTGCAGGAGCATAGAATGTGTCCTTGATCAATTAGCCTGGCCGAATGCGTGGGCGCTACAATTCAAAGGGGAAACCAGTAAGCGTCACTCAGCAACCAAAGCTCAAAGACAGGCAAGGAGTGACATGAAGGGAAGAACAATCAAGAGAATTAAACTGGTAGAGAAGAGCAGGTGCAGAGTCACAGGAATCCCGAGTCCTCAGCCAAACCACCCAGCGTGAAGGGAAAAAGTCGGGAGGTGATGCTGCTGCTTGACTTGTGTTTCTGGATGACTTCAGGTCGGGCTGGCTGGCTAGTTAGCTTTAGATGCGACGGGCGGCGGCAGGCTAAACAGCCGCCACCACACCAAACAGGCTTAGCGCCAGCCTGCGCTTTGCTGGCATCACATGGAACAACAAGGGGCCTTGATTAAATTCACTGTGATCCGTGCAGTTGTCTTACTACTTATTTTCTTTTCAGTCATGCAGACAATGTACGAAATCGGTTGGATAAAATACAACAAAAGCCAGCATCGCACTTGAATATCCTTCCTTCAAAAATCCACTGCCATTCACACCGGTTGTCTTTGGGTCGGATGACGCGGATAGCGCTCACAAATGGTTATGGCTTGTTGGGCTATGTGCGTTCTCTAGGTTTGAGTTAACTACAAGTGCAGTATCAACCCGAGGTTTACAAGGTTAATTGCCCTTTGTTAGACTTGGTAGTTGGAAGCAGAGACATTGCCTCCGCGGCCGGTCCAGTTGACGTGGACATTCGTTCCTGCTGGATACCTCTCATTGGCGCATTCCGGCTTCATCAAGAAAGTATGCGCGCCGAAGTAGTCGCGCTGGGCCTGGAGGAGGTTGGCTGGGAGATCATGCGAGCGATAGCCGTCATAGAAACTCAACGCAGTTGAAAAGGCTGGAGCTGGGATACCCCATAAGGTTGCCTTGCTGACAACATCGCGCCATCCGGGCTGTGCCTTGTGGATGGCGTTGTTGAAGAAGTCGTCAAAGAGGAGATTTTCAAGCTCAGGGTCGTTCCGGTATGCGTTGGTAATGTCCTTCAAGAAGACGGAACGGATGATGCAGCCACCACGCCACATCAATGCAATCGAGGGCTTGTTCAATTTCCAGTTATACTCTTTGGCAGCCTATAAATCCCGGTTAGTGCTCGCCTCCAGTCGAACGTGTCACGGTAAAAGACGCTACTCACATTCTGAATCAGCATGAAACCTTGCGCATAGGAGATGATCTTGGAAGCATAAAGGGCTTGCTCCAGATTGTTGATGAACTCGTCCCGGTTACCAGTGAACTCGGGCTTAGGGCCTTGCAGGATCTTGCTGGCGCGAACTCGCTCTTGTTTCAGAGAGCTCAGGCAACGGGAGAAGACAGCTTCTCCGATCAAGGTCACCGGCATACCAAGATCAAGAGCGTTGATAGCAGTCCACTTACCAGTGCCCTTTTGACCAGCGGTGTCCAAGATCTTTTCAATCAGCGGCTTGCCGTCTTCATCGTTGTAGCGCAAGACATCTCGAGTAATTTCGATCAAGAATGAATCGAGAACACCCTTGTTCCACTTCTCAAAGACATCACCCATCTCCGCAGCGGTCATACCGAGACCCCTCTTCATGATATCATAGGCCTATAACATGGGTTCAGCCGCAACAAATCTCTGTTGCTGAGAGTCGAGATCAGTCCTCACCTCACAAATGAGCTGCATATCTCCATATTCGATACCGTTATGGACCATCTTGACATAATGGCCTGCACCCTCGTCTCCTACCCAATCGCAGCATGGCTCACCATAGCTCTGGGCAGCAATACTCTGGAAGATATCCTTGATATATGGCCATGCCTCTTCGTTCCCTCCCGGCATCAAACTGGGTCCATAGCGGGCGCCTTCCTCGCCGCCAGACACACCGGCTCCGACGAAGCGAATTCCACGCTCCTTGAGGTATTTGCAGCGGCGATTGCTGTCGGGGAAATGAGAGTTTCCACCGTCAATTATGATGTCACCGGGTTCGACGTAGGGAAGGAGTGCCTCGATGAAATCGTCGACGGGTTTGCCGGCCATGACCAGCAGCATAATTCGGCGGGGTTTCTTGAGCTTTGCGCAAAACTCCTGGATTGAATGGGCTCCAACAATCGATTTTCCTTGACTGAATCAGAATCCACAGGTGGGAAACTTCGTAACGATCCGCTGGGCAGACAAACCTTTGGCCTCATTGTCTAAGAATCGATCGACTTTTGAAACTGTGCGGTTGAAGGCAACAACTGTAAATCCATGGTCGGCGGCGTTTAGGATGAGGTTTTGGCCCATGACGGCCAAACCGATGAGGCCAAAATCGCCACTGGGGGGAATATGCGCAGGGGCACCGACATTTATGCCGGCCAGGCGCGCGCTGGCGTCAGCTCTCAGTCATGGAATACTCAAGCGGGCGATTTAATCAGAAAGATGGAACAACTACATGAAGTATGTTCATCCAGAGCATTGGCGTGCTGGGTAGGGTAGCTGCTAGGGACAAATAGAGGGCGCACTTACACTGCTTGATCAGCCATGATGGTCGTGGATCAAGGAATTGCTCTGTTTGTGTTGTTGTGAAGACGTCGGGTGCTCCTTGTATCAATTGCAGGTGGTGGAAAAGGGACAGGTTGACAGCAGGACGAACGGTGGGGTTCGCTGCCTTGGTGAGGGTAGTTTAGTGGGCTGCTCCGACCCAAGTTCTCGCGGTCACGTTGAGGACAATACGACAAGGAAGCGGAATAATGGCTGATAATCTCGACAAGGCTCTGCAGTGAATGCAAGATGAATTTATAAGTCCTCCCGCTTCCCGTGTAGCCTTGCGTTTGTCATCATTATAGCATGATTCTCTGATCTTGATTGCTCTCCAGGAGCGGGGCATTCTGGTTAGTAATGAGGGGCAAACAATGGTTACAAAAGGCGCCGGGATCTCGATGCGAAACCCAGCCCTCGCATCAATTGAAGCTTCGAATCGGATTAGCAGAGTTTTAAATGCGCCCAATAGGCCCCCTGGACAAAGGGCTCTCGGTGTGCAAAATCCCGTGCGAGTCCCGCCATGTCCGTACAACCGCAGCGCGACACTGTGACAGCAGCCAGGAATAGGGATTAGTCAGCTTGATATGCCACATGGCTAACACTCCTGATTGGTCAGCTGAAACTGGATGACTCAGCAAGCAAGAACACGGCGCTAGTGCATGTACGGTTAGCCCCATTGACATGTCGAGCTTCCATCCGCCTTTTTGCTGCTCATCCGCCAGCACTGGACAGCTGTTGCGCCAGATATCCTCGCTGCGTGCATTCTTTGCTGTCAAGACCAAAGCGAAAGCCGTTGTCACATCAAACCGCTTAAGAGGCCCTGTGCTCGTGTCGAGAACTTCGCCGCTGTGACGTCTAGCGTAGGACGTTTGCTTCGAGTTCCACCATCTGAAGCGGGTTTCAGGCCGGACGTGCGCAAGGTACGTGTGTCTGCTGTTATTACACACCTGCTGCCAAATATATCTGCCCTTGCTCCGACGAACGTTCCGTTCATCATGTCGTTTCCACCTCCTCCAGGTTTCCAACAAACCCCGCGTCCTTCCTCCACCCAGCCACACCCGCACAGCTCGCTTCCCCCGCGACCGCCTTCCGCCTCCTACGCTCCCTCGGGTGCTGCTGGGACACCAGGCAACCCGCAAAGACCTTCGGATTACAATGCCTTCACTCGCTTTCAACCACGATCGGTAGCGGCTACCCAGTCTTATCGCCCTAATAGTCCCGCTGCCTCTATTCCTTATACGCCCAGTGGCGGGTATTCGGCGCCAACTCCGCCGCACAATACGGGTTACCAGTACCCCCCGACTCAGTATCAACAGCCGAGTCATCCGTATCAGCAGCAGCAGCAACAACACGATAATTATTACCCCCAGCAACAGTATGGCTCCAGTAACTACAATCAGTCGTCTGGCTCTCACAGAAACCAGTACAATGCTGGGCAGGATCAGGGTGCCTACGGATTTGGGGGGGCCAACAGAGGAATCGCGCGTCATGGCGATTCCGGCATGGATCCAGAGACTGAAGCTCAGATCGCCCAATGGCAAAGCGCCTACATGAGCAAAGATGAAAGTAACCAGACCGTTGGCGGTAAGGCCGGGGCGGGGCGTCGAGACGATGCTTCATCGGCTACTGGGGCCAACACCGGTCCACTTGGCAACGTACAGCGGCTTCATGACGCTTCGACGATCTCTGCACCTCCCAGCGGCGTTCAGACTGCTTCTACCACACCTGTCGCTGGCCCCAATCAACCAGGACCCCATAAAACTGTTGTGCGTTCGGGCGGTGGGCAGACATGGACCGATCCGACTTTGCTGGAGTGGGATCCAGCGCACTTCCGCCTTTTCTGCGGGAATCTTGCCGGCGAAGTAACGGACGATTCTCTGCTCAAGGCATTTTCAAAGTACCCGTCAGTCCAAAAGGCACGCGTCGTTCGCGATAAGCGAACGGAAAAGAGCAAAGGGTACGGATTCGTTAGTTTCAGCGACGGCGACGATTACTTTCGAGCTGCGAGGGAGATGCAAGGCAAGTATATCGGCTCGCATCCCGTGCTCCTGAGACGAGCGATGACCGAGATCAGACCGGTTGTTGCAGGGAAAGGTGGCGCGAAGGGAAACAAAAAAGGTGGTAATGCAGCTGGCGGAGCTGGCGGCGGTAAATCTTTAAAGCCGGGCGGTAAGGCTGCCGGTGGTGGTGTACAGAAAAAGCAAGCAAAAACCAAGGGTGGATTGAGGGTGCTGGGATGATGAGCGGTCCTGTAACTAACTACTCGCAACAGCCATGGTTCATTGCCAGCACTTTTTGACGTTTCTCATCCATTGCTGTTGTGTATCCTCCGTAAAGTCCCCAGATGCATTTGCTCCTCACGCGCCCTTTGCCGCCATTCCGATATCGCGCGTCTCTTTCTGCGTCATCGGCCAGAGACCCGGCGTGCTGCTAGGCCTGAAGCGGCTAGGCGCCGTCACAGTAGCATTTCGTCGGAAGTTGAAAGCGTGAAGCAACGCAGCAGCAACGGCGGATGCAACTCCAGCGGGAGCATCATCGCCATGGCCGGGTGGGCTCCAGATCGCCAATATGCTCAGTCAAGGGCGCCTTTCAAGCTAACTAGCCAACTCGCGTAGCCGATTCGGAGCATTATAACTTAGATAACTAGCCTTATCAGACATCCGACGGCCACCAAGTCATCCACAGCGTGACTTTTCTTTCTCTATTTTTTCTTTATTTTCCAATTCTCTTTTCTGGTCTGGATGCAATAGTCAAGCTGGTGCATAATTCGCTTCGGGCTCTGTTCCTTTTTTTCCCGTGTTGGCTTGTTGCAATCTGTTCACATATATAGACTTCTCCGCGTATGAAGTGACCACGGTTTCCAGCCATGTCGGGCCGCACGGGTGTAGACGGACAGCAGAAACCCAACGCCCAGTCCATCCAGTCCTTCCTGACGCCGCTGGTGCTCGACGACGCAAAGATCCACGACATCTCCTACCGCCTGTCCAAGGTCTACCAGCGTCTGGCGCGGCACGGAGAAGGCCACTTCTTCCCAACCCCTGTAACCCATCTCCCCAGCGGCCACGAGACGGGGTTCTATCTGGCTGTCGACGTGGGCGTCACCAATCTGCGCGTAGCTTTCATTGAGCTGCTGGGGGACGCGTCGGACAGCCCTAATAATGGCTCCTCGTCGATGTCGCTGGTTGAGTCGTATATAGAGAACAATGCCATCCCCAAGGTGTGGCAGAGACGGGTGAGGCGCACGCTGGAAAAGGCGTGGAGGATCGAGGAACATCTGAAGGAGGACCCGACGGAAGAGCTATTCTCGTGGATTGGAAGCTGTATCGCGGAAGTGGTTGCAGATGAGATCAGGTCGCATAGCTTCGAGCTGGCGGCCGAGTTGGAGACGGGGTTGTCCTTCAGTTTGCCGATGAAGTATGTACTGTGCATGCATATATATCCGGGCGAGCAGGACACTAACTGCACTATTCAGGCAGAATTCGCTGGGCGAGGCTACCCTGATGCCCGTCGGAAAGGCGTTCTTCATCAGTGAAGATCTCGATCTCCGTCAAGCGCTGCTCGCTGGCTATGAACGCCATACACGACGGACAGATATTGGATCCATGGACCAGCACCAGATGGTATATCAGCTCCCAAGGCTAAACATAGTCGCCATCGCCAATGACACGGTCGCGACGTTGGTCTCGCTGGCGTACTCGGTCAAATCACTGCCCAACACCCGGGTCGCAATGGGCATCATCGTGGGCGCAGGATGCAATGCCACTGTTCCCATGCAGCTCTCCGACTTACACGAGTCCAAAGTCCGTCAGATCCTCTCCTACAACCCCAATGCGACGCAAGCAATCATCAACACCGAATGGACTCTCCGTGGAACAGAACTCCCGCTCCAAGAACTCGACGTCTTCACCAAGTGGGACATGGAACTCGACGCCAATACCCATCGTCCCGGCTTCCAACCGTTCGAATACATGACCGGCGCCCGCTACATTGGCGAACTCGTCCGCCTCGCCGTCTTCGACTACTTCACCAACATCCTCGAAACCCCCCAGCACACCCTGCCCCAGACCCTCACGCAGCCCTACGCACTCACCACCGCCTTCGTCTCCGACATCATCGCCACCTCTCGCGCCGACACCGCTCTCGCCGCCAGCCTCGCCAGCAGACTCCCCCCGCCGCCATCCAGCCCCTGGACCTGGACCCCCGACCTCGCCAGCGTCATGCGCGCCACCGCGTCCGCCGTGCAGACTCGCTCCGCGGCGCTTATCGCAGCCGCATCCGTCGGCCTGCTGGCCTGTAACCACGAAATCCATCTCCTGGAGCCACACGCAACCGCGGAGTCCTCGCAGCCCAGCCAACCCGTCATACAGAGCCCCGAAGACCAGCGGGATGCGCTGTGCCCGGGCTCCGGGTGGCAGAGCGGGCCGGAGGAACTGGTCGTGGCGTACACGGGAGGTATTATCCAGCATTATCCGAATTTCAAGGAGATGTGCCAGATGTTTATCGATCGGCTGATCTTGAGGGGTGGTCCGCAAAAGGAGGGGAAGAGTGTGTTTTTGAGAGAAGCGAGTGATGGCTCGATCATTGGCGCGGGAGTGCTGGCGGGGATGGTGTCGAGCAGGTAAATAAATTATTTTTTGTCGACGAATTTCTAGTATATATGATTTTTGGATGATTGGATTGTGCTGGATTGGCTTTGGCTTGGGCATCAAGTGTGATCTCGATGCGCAACGTCAAGGGAATGAACATATATGGCTCACAAAATGTTAATGTCACGTTGTCATGTCTATAAGTGTTGAGATAGTCTTACTCTACCTATTAACTACATACTATTTTCATTTAAAACGGAAGTTCAATTATTCTCAAACTACAAACAGGGAGTTGACGCTCAATTCTCGCGCAAATCTAATCTAATCCTTCATAGCAAACTATCACTAATTACTTCTATCTATACCTTTTAGGACGTCTACCTTTTGCCCATTCAGCATGTGCGACCCCCTGCATAGCCAGGTCCCCTAGCACCGCCTGTGCCTTGTCAAGGCTGTCAATTGTAGAGACCGGGGGCGGGAATACCATAAACTGCCTTGTGGGCTCATTGACCTTGTCGGGATCAATAAGATCACACTCCAGCAGGTAGTTGAACTGGGATAACCAGCTGGTCGCGGCACTAAACCCGCGGTCGCGGATCGCCAGTAACAGCAGCGCCTCCGCGTATCGCTCCGGGGTGGGGATTCTGACCGGCGTACCGGGATGATGTCGACATTTACCTCTGCTCGTCTCGTTGCCCAAGATGGGATGCTGGTTGTTTGGCGGGAGCCGTGCGTCATCTGCGAAGATGATGTTCTCCGAGTCTGAGAAGGTGGTGGTGTCGTTCTCCAGGGGCAAGGCCCACAAGCGCTCGTCTTTGATGTGCAGCTGGATGGACGGCCACATGTTGATTTCGTCCCCCAGGAAAGAAATGTGGAAATGGACGGCGGGATTGCAGAAAGTCCGTCCGTCTTCTGTCACGGGCGCTCTGTGATGGCAGTTGCTAGCAGCGCAAGGCACCAGACCAGCGTGGATCAGGGTCTCGGTGGCTCTTTGGAGGTGTGAGCGGTCAACCACGAAGCTCATTTCCTAGGCTGGATCAGCAAATTGTATGCCATCTAGTTCTGGACTGCCATGGTACAGGGTAGCAGAGCATACGATATCTCCTGTTGGAATGCCATAGATGTCGATCACGCTATTCCACCACAGGATGTTCGGGATATCAACACTGTTCAGCAGCGACGCAACTTTGATCATGGTTGGTGTGCAAAATCTTGCGTCTTTGAGGGCATTCCGCTCTACTAGATGCGACGCCATCCTGCGAAAACACGAGGCCTTGGGTTGGGATGAAGCAATCGGTTGACGTGCGACAGTGCTCTTTTGCCCATCAGCACCGAACGAAGAAATTCCAGGAGCAACGCACCTTTTGTATGTGGTATCTTCTCAAGTAACCTGGCCGCGTCAGTGCAAAGGGACGGGGAACCAGCAGCGGTTTAAACAAAGGCGAATTGGTCAATCGCAGGAAAGCAGGTGGACAACGGAGGGCCATTTTCAGTAGCCTTGGAACCAGAGAGTCAGTGATAAAGTGATGGTTGGTGCTCGATATTTGAGGGCCTCTTCTAGCTTTCAAGATAAAGGGCCATTGCTGAACACACGGGCGTCACCGATGAGTTACACCGTCGATCAAAGGGGAGAGATCTGTTTAGTTCCACATCAATACATCTGAATTCTCAGCTGCGAGCTACTTCTCACTATCACGTCATTATTGTGATGATGACCACGGCGCCTGACGGCTCGATCCCTACAGGGTATCTTAGGCTTCCAGCCCGCCGGTGCATACAGAGCGTTTCCGGAGCCAAGCGACGAGCCTCAGGCGGAAAACCCAGCCACCTTAAGCAGCAAAAGAGAGCAACGGGGTAACTACTACATGACATTCTTTAAACAGCTTCTTCTTGAGAAGCTTTTGGGTACATATGGCAGGCTGCCGGCATATAAAGCGCTAGCTATAATGAACGTCAACACTCACGTAACTAGTTCATTCCGTTCCTCATTCACACGTCTATCATTCGGACAACGTCCGTCGCAACAGTCATCGCCTTGCCGATTTTGCCAGGTCTTCTAAACGAGCATTGGCCCACGAGAATCAACCAGAGGCTGTTGCCTAAGACTGGCGTCTGCATGCCGCTTCCAGATGTGCTACGCCGCAGAACTTGCCGAAGATGAGAGCTCGAACCTTGCCTCTTCCAATCGGTAGCCCCTGAGCCGCATCCGATCCCTGCGCTGGTGAGGTTTCCGAGCAACATCTGCCACACGCAGGACAATTGCAATTCACAGCAGCTGCCGGTCGAAAACTTGTAGATATCCTTCGCCGAAGCTGCGTCAAAGCGCACGTATCGAGAGAATGCGCAGTATAAATGCGCCCTCTATTCCACACGTTGAGGGTGATGAGCGTGCTTGTATCTCGCATAGTTCGAAGCCCACGATACTTGTTCCTCAATCTTAGACCCTTCGGCCGAAAACCTTTAGAGAATGGCGTTTCCTCTTGCTGCCGATATGACGGCAGCTTCACGGGCATTCATTGATGCCGCCAAAATCGTTACGGGCGCCCAAGCTGCCAGTATCCGCTTAGCCCTAGTAGGAGGTACCGCCATTATCAATCAGACCAACCACCGGTTTACCCAGGTGCATGAATGAAAAGCAAGCGATGTCTTATTAATTCTAACTCATCTTAGGACATCGACTTTTATGTGATTGGCACGGACCGGATGGCCCTGAGAGACGAAATCGTACGCAAATGCAACCCTGAAAATGGATCACCGATTTGGACGAAAAACGTAGAGTCGAGGTGCGGCTTGACTTATTCGATCCGGAAACAAGATGGGCCTGCTGTGAATATTCGGATAGATATCATCGACGACCAAGTTGTCAGCTACCTAATTGTTCACTATTCTTTTTTTAGAGGCCTGCGGGCGTCAATGCTGACCCACGTACTAGACAGGTTGGAGCGTGTCGTCGCACCAAATACTTGCGCAACTAGCGGAAACGAACTTGCCTTGGGGCTCTCGAGACGATCTCATTTGCACTAAAGCGAAAAGCGCACGCGATCGGTGCAGGCGTGGACATCCCAAAGGGAAACAAGATCTCTTCGACATCGAGAAGCTGTTGGAAAAGATGCCCGGGGTATTAACCAATCCCACGCACAAGGCACACTGCGTTCAGCACCTCTCTGAAGTTGTAGGACTTCATCACTGGCCAAAGGAAGAGTGGGAAACCAGGCTTGGAATCCAATTGCCATAGAATATCGAGAAGGGCGATATGCCCACTTGTACAGAGTAACCGTTGGTTAGCCGCTTCAAAACTCCGCTCCTTCTAGGGAATGAATCACAGTAATGGATGGCTTCGAGAGAATTTTCTCATCATATCATTCCATTTTAATTGCTTTCATATTCCGCATCGCTGAGTGCAGTTTCCTCACCGCTTGATTCGGTTTTCTCCTTTTTCTTGCCCCTTTTCGAGGCAGCCCTAGCTTTGGTCTTCTTTCCCTTCCCATCTAGCATATCTCTAATGTCCTTCTGCTTTGCATCTTTAGCCTGCTCCTTTTCTCTCTTCTTATCGAACAACGCTTGTTGTTTTTCCCGCTCTTCTTTTCCCTGCTCAGCCAAACCTGCTTCAAGGGACTTGAACTCCCGGCTTTCGGGATCCATCCCGATCAGACTTTCCAAAAGTTTGATTTCTCGAACCCAAACGGATTTATCTTCAATCATCGCTGGTTTGGTTTTGGTTTTTGCTTTCGTCGTTGTACGAACCTTTTTGGTCTTCGAAGCCGTTGACGTCGTTGTACGCTTTTTGCCAGATGGCCTTTCCGATTCTGATACGTCCAAGTTGTCGTGCTCACACTCGGATGCAACAGCTTCCTCCTGCTGATGTGCCTCAACTGTTTCTGCAGGCCTGTCAATGGGTGTTTCCAAAATCATAGGCAAGTCCTCCAGTCGTTTATCATTCATCACGTTATGAAATGCCCTCAAACCCAAGAAACCTGTCCCGATGTTGGCATGCAAATCCCGCTTACTGCCCAATGGCGTTTTCGAGTCATTGATGTGCAGTGCTCGTAGGAACTTTAGGCCAACGGTCTTATCAAACTCGTCCATGAATTCATTCCAGGATTCTGGGGAACGGAGGTCATATCCAGCAGCGAAAGTATGGCAGGTATCAAGGCATATTCCCAAACGCGGATGGTAAGTTTCCGGAATGAGCGCTAAAAGAGACTGAAAATGCGAGAGCGGCCCGCCAATAGTGGTTCCATGACCACAAGTTGTCTCTAAGACTGGAATTACGGTCTTTGTGGCGTCCAAGGCAGCTATGAGAGCCTTCGCTAGGCGAGAAAGTGCGGAATCAAGGGTGGATTGGTTGGTTGCACCAGGACTGCAATTGATATTAAGTTTCTGTACCTTGAGGATATGAGAGTGAGGGAAGCTAACTGAAAATTGTAGAGTTTTATACCAAGCTCCTCGCATCGTTTTAGGTCATCTATGAAAGAGGTGTATGCCTGTTTCGCTTTCGTAGGATCTTCCTGCGCCAGGTTAACAAGGTAGGAGCCATGAGGAAGGACATATCTAGATTGACATTAGACAATACGG